TCATCATACGTTCATTATCATATGAAAGACATGGGCTAGCTGCTCTAATCAACACCAGGCGGAGGCCGGAGCAGTACCCTAATAAACGAACCACAAACCATTCACGATATTTCCTTCCTCTTCCTTGTCCTATCCTCACCCCTTACTTATACAAACATGCGCTACACTACAACTACACATGCCGGGAGTCTGATCGGGAGCTTAGAACTTGTCCCGGCTGGGGCGATGCCCCGCTGGTGGGAGATACCTGGTTGACGAAAACTAGGCCAGCTGACGGTAGGTCAGCATCGGATCTCGCCATCCAGCGGGGGAAGATAGCAATCCCTCCCGAACAAACTGCACCACACTTACGGGAATATTGACACCCCCCCCAAAAAAAAACTAACTAACTAACTAACGGTCAATATACATAAACGTATGGACATATATAATTTTCCATTTTTTTGTGATTCAAATTTTTTACTAGAGTTTTCTTTAGCTAACGATTTCATTAAGTAACACACACACACATCCGACCTAGAATGTAACGATTTGCACAACCTTGACAAGAGCTGGGACATGCGAAGGCAAGTGCAGCGCCGGGGCTTGAGTAATGGGCCCAGACTGCGTGGTTTCCTCGCCGGGGAGCTGCCCGGGGCGAGATGGGCCGGCGCATGCAAATGGCGAGTTCCCAACGGCGGCGAGTCGGCGCCACGGCTCGGCCAGGCGGCAGGCTTCGGCCGCAGGTTGGAATCACGCGGCGAAGCCTACTGCGCTATTTGGCTCAGCTCAATCCTCGACAACAACGGGTTCGATCCCGGCTGACTGATTGATGGACGGATTATTTCTTTTTTCCGGGCGCGTCAACGGCTGTGGTCATTAGTCCGGTAAGTGTAGTGTATGCTTCAAACAATAGGTGGTGGCGATCTCTCCTCGTCGACATTGAGATCCAGCGCCTACCTACACAGATATATCCCAGCAGCGGGGCGTCGCCCCAGCCGGGACTAGCTCCAAGCTCCCGCCTGGTCTCGATCCCGCCTGAGGTACGTGTATTTTCAAAGAGCGGTTGATTCACAGTTGCCTCGTCATACTTGGGGGCAGTAAAATAATTCTGCTTAAATGTCTGTCAAAACAGTATTGAGGCCTCCGACAATTCTCGGTCCGATACCGTATTCACTTTCGAGCAAAACATTACTGAAATATGTAGTGGCGCTCACTGGCGGCTAATATGGGAGTCTAAATTTACTGGCTATAATATGAGCATTTAGGGCGACAACTCAAAAATACTCAGGTGTTTTATTCTCGTAGCGGAAGGGTTAATGATTCAATATCGAAGGATCTGAACATTAGATTGCAAGAAACCTAACAACAAATTCAAAAAAAGGTTTTCCGACTTAAATGAAAGGAACATCGAGAAGTATTTTCAGTTGAACAAGGGCGGCTCCATCAATAATATTATCGTATTTATAAAATAAAATATTTAAGGTTACCACAAAACTCTAATTTAAACTAACTCTAACTGAAAAAAGAAGTACTAAAACAAAGATGTATAAAAATGTCGTCTAAATGTTTTAATTTGTTTGCTGACACTGAGATTTAAAATAATTGAAATTGAAATCTATGTATGAGTAATAGGTATTATCAATTAATTTAATTTAATAAGTATTTACTTTAACTTTTAAAAGGCTCTTGCCTCAAAAATTTGATTTTCTAAAGCTTAACTGTGATTTTACTCATACATAGGTAACTTAAAATTAATAAAATTTATTAGCTAAGGTACTAAATTAGTATATGAAAAAATAAGAAAATTACAAACAAATCTTAAATTTTTGGTGCCCTAGAAAAGTGACAATTTATGAGTAAGAAATTGTCATTTTGCAGAAGAATGAAAATTTTGACGTTAAATTTTTTTTAGAGCCATTTATTTCGCATCCAAAGACAAAATTTCACCCCTACTAGTATGTCGACCGCCTTGTAATTATTCTTTGTTGAATTAGGGTACTTCAGCACCAGATTGTAACCGAAAACACTAGCCTCGAAACGCCTGTGCAACCAAGGAAGGTAGGTCTTATACAGTGAATCTGTAAAAATTCGGAAGATGGCCGAGTCGCGCATCCCGGGAATTCTCAGAGTAGAGAGGGAAAGCCGAAATGAAACACTCACTAAATATTAGCCTATATTTAAATTAATTTATTTAAACTTAACAAAATGTCAAAAATCAGTCAAAAATCATTCAGTCAAAAATATTTGACATATTTAAATTTTATCTTTAAGACAATTTAAACTTTTTTCTTGTTTTCTACAGAAATAATTTTAAGTATTGATGCTTGTTTGTAGGGAATTACGACCCTAGTTAAACAAAGAAGGGGCAATTCCTCATCTCACACCTATTCTTCTGATGCCATTGGAATCAGTCAGCCGGTGCATGAACATAATTCTTTGTGTTAGGTTGCACAAGTTCAAGAAAATTATCTTCTTTTAGAATTTATATGCCAGACTCTCGCACGTCTTTGGTATTGGGGAGAGTACTACGGGAAGCACCTAGAAAGGCATAAGATAAATATTTATACCCAAAGCAGGTTTGAAACAGGTGACTGATGTGGAAGAGGTAATGAGTATTTCAATATCTTTGGTAGTGAGGATTACAACTTTCTAACAAGTTTACATTTTGTAACACGCATGCTCATTCTTAAATAAGAAAACAGTTAGAACATCTCGGTTACTAGTTGTAACACTAATAGGTGGGATAATATGTACTATTGTCATTATTCTACACGTTATTTTAGTGACAACCATTAACGTTTCCTAGTCAAAATCCATTGTTTCCGCAAACCCAGAATTGCTGCAATGACTTCTTCTCCGCTGCTGGCTTTAGTATAACTATAATTATAAATTGTATCTTAACTCCTGCAGCCACCCAACTTCCTCAAGGTGGAAATATCTAGAATGGTAAAAAAGCTTAGCTGCGTTAGTTCTCACCCATTATTCACGACGTGTTATCGATAGCTGGCTGTCCTTCACAACTTCTAGAGGCTTATGAAGGGCTCAATTTTCGAAGAAGGTCGAAGAACGAAATTCAGCCTTCTGTGCCGATTGAAATTTCATTGAGGACATAACTCAACATACTTGCTCTCTGTAATTGGTACAAGGTAATCTCCGCTTGAGAGATCGGAAGTTCTCGGCAACTATTGCGCAATTGTTCTAATACAATGAATGGTTGAATTGTTACTAAAAGTCTTATGTTATATTTTCTGGAGAGAAAATGAGAGGTAAGAGAGATTTCGGGTGATATATCGCAAGCCGAATTGGTTTAAGTACAATGCAAGGACTTGAAAAATCTTCGAAGAACGAAACAGACCTAGGATCACTATCTGTAAGACAATGACGGGAAATTAGCAATTTATTCAACTAGTCATTCCTTTAAAGCCGCATATTTTAAAGAGAAGATTACTCAAAATATCAGATTAATGTGATATTAAAAAGGTTCAGTTATGTTTATATATATATAGCAGTATTTTCAATTTCAGCAAAATGATAATCAAGTCATGAAAATGAATCCCCTCGATCTTCTCATAAAATGTTTTCTCTGTCAGCTAAATTTGCTAGCAAAGAAAATGTACATTTTTAATTCATATTCTAGATTAATTGCACTTTCAGTCCTTAAAAGTTTGTATTTTCTTAAAAGTGGATTATTATTTTCTCAGGTTTGCATGTTACCTTTTAATCTTAAAAATGAAAATCTGATGAGTCACCTTCAAAACAATAATTCAAACTTAAAAAGCGTCCCTATATTAAAAACTACCTTTCTATTGACGTAAACCATCGGCAATGACTTTTCTATGCATAACTCCTTGCACATATGTAGTACTCTATGCGTCGGACAGGCTAGGCAAAACAAACAAGACTTCAAGCATTGTTTTCACGGGACACGTCCGCCAAATTGGCTCATCACGACAGTCAAGCTGTCACCTCAAGGTGCTCACAAGCAGTTAATTGCAAGTAGGTATGGACGAGGTAGCAGAGAGGTAATGACATTATTTCATAAATATATTAAAAACATTTAGTAGAATGGAGAGGAAGTCGGGTTTGCTGCTCCGAAACCCGATAGAGGGGCGTTTCCACGTTTTAAATAATTAGGTCGCATATGAAAGTGAAGAAAGTGATGGTATATTTTAGAATGTTGGAAACAAAAATTATAGGAAACGAAAGTAATTGCGGGAATAGCCAGCACCAATAGCAAAATACGATAGCGGTAAAAGTTATTAGATATTAATTTTACGAATGGGTTGAAGAATATTTAATAAACTAACCTCAATAACTGAAAATTCTGAATTTTAACGCGCATAGTTAGTAGTCAGTGCATGTTCAATTTAGAAAACCAGACAAAAGAACAGCAAGGTGCAAACATATGAAGAGGAAAGTACATCAATATTTGTAATTTTGTTCTACATTTCTCAACATTTGTGTACTCTCCGGTACAACAAATAGTGACATAGACGAAAATAAAACGGCACTCGTAATAGTGACTAATATAAAAATAACAGAATTAAATGTCAATGAAAGGTGCTGAACGCAGCTGCCAGGATGAGGCGCTCGCAGGTGCGGATGTCTGTCAGCTCCTTTGGCGGCAGCGGCGAAGGCAGCCTCTGGTTCTCAGGCGATCGCCGCGGGGGGGGGGAGGCGGGGAGGGAACGCCAGCCCGGAGAGACGAAGATGATGAGTTTAGCGGCTCAACGCCGCGGCGTCGCAGGGCGCCTTTCCCAGGCGGGCGAACGGGCGGGGAGGAGCGCCGCCCCCGGCGCCACCGCACGTGAAATCGAAAGGAGGCGCCCCCGCCCCCGCCGCCGCCGCCGCCGCCGGTCTCTGCCGCGGAGAGGGCGAGGGAGGCGGGCAGTCGCGGGGGGCAGCGGCGTCGGTGGCGGCGGAGGCGGCGTGCGAGAGAGGAGGGGGGTCGTGATGTGGGTTAGGGCGCGGGATGTAGGCCGGCTATATACGCGGGCAGCGCGTCCCGCACAGGGTTCAGTCGCCTCCGGATAGCGGACCGCAGCAGACTTCGCCTTCCGCCGCTCGCCGCCCTCGCCGCTGCCGGCCTCCCCGACGCTCCTTGTCGACCCGCCCCGCTCAGGTGAGCGCCAGCGCCGCCCCGCGCCGCCGGTCGCGCTCCTTCGGCCCAGCGCCTCCGCGCTGCCTCGGGCCGACAGTGCGAAACTCGGATGGAATTCCAGCCATAAACCGGTCGACGTCTGCGACGATTTACGATATTCCTTTGCTGTCACATCGCTTACTGACTCGGGATAAAGCGACCCGCGCAACCCCTCAGACTTCCTGGATCCCTCGGTGGTCTCCAGGTCGACTGAGCAAAAGTCGGACGAGATTCCCGTGCTGGTGCGTAGAGAATTTCAGTAATAAACCGGTCGAGATATGCAAAGATATTCGAATATCCGTCAGTCTCACACCGTCTACTGCTGGAATACCTTCTGAGTCGGGCAACTCTGAGGCAAAATTATTTGCATGGAATAGAAACTGCGAAACCTGATAAGAGTTGGGTACTATTTGTAGAATAGAGAATAATGAAATATCATCAGGTCTCGAAACGATAGTAGACTACCGTCACTACTAACGATACTTCACCGTCGTATCTTTGCGAGGATTTTTTTTGCTATGACCCGAGTGTGCAAATCCCTTTTTATTTATCTCCAATGAATTTCAGGCTTGTGAGCTTGAAACTGCTAGTAATAAGTTCAAAATTTTAAATTGCTGAATCTAACTGTTGTCAATAATTCTGAATATATTTAAAAATAGACCTTGGAAGCGAGAGTAAGAAATTCACAGTGAAATATCTCAGGTCGTTCCCATCACAATCAAATTGCTTCTACTTCTGCTTCAACTATACTTCCGGATTTTACACCATAGCAGCCGAGAAGTAGCTAGGTCATCCGACAACGTATTAACCATCCGAGAAGTGAGTTCTGCCCTCATAGTGTCATAACTCCGCAGACAAGTTACACTCCGACTTATGCAGTTCTACTTTCGATACTGAGAGAGTTATTGTAAATTATGATATCCAAATTGCTCATCTCTTTCACTTTAAATTAGGATATATGCAAGATAATCGCTGTCTTCTCGGAGGACTTGCCCCCAGTGATACGAAAACATTAGTAAGGAACTATGAGTCACTTGGGTGCGCTCAACCCAAAAATGTGAACAGTAGAGAGAACTTGTAGCATAAGTAACGCGAATAACAATAATTATTGCAAAGACCTTTTCTGTGTAGTCAAGATCTTTTTGTTTCTGAATTTTTATTTTTTTAAATCTTTTCTTAAACTTCAAACCAATTAAACTAATTCACTACGATATGTTTTTCGTTAACGTTTTAGTCAATATATTTCCGTATCTCAGACTTGGCCACATCACATGTATTCTGTAAAAGAAAGGAATTATGCTATTCCGCGTGCTCGTACACCGCATATTGCCTCTCTCGTTACAATGCAGCGTCGTACTCGTGGGGCTCCATCCGCGACGTGGCCACCGGGCGTCACCGTTAGACGTCCTGGAAGGTATGTGGCGCGACGCCCCTGCTGGAGGACTCGCTCTTCCTACAGCAGCTGAATTTTATGTGCTAGAAAAGGAACTGCTATAGACAATAAGGAAAGCACTTCATTCGTGTCTGAGAGCCAGAGGGGCAAAGGGAACGTATGTATTATTTATGGCAGAAAAATGAGCTACAAGAAATTCTCAGTTCTATTTCCATGGGTTAAATCTATTTCCTTTTAATTTTTAGTTCCATTTCCATGTGATTGGCTAGCATTTTTTTTCATTATTCTTCGTTCATTATATATTATTTATAACATTCATTTATTTTTTGAAGAATGAGGTATACTGACTTTCAAAACGTCACTTTAGTATTGATGTATAATGACCTCACAATTGGCTGAAATAGCTTCAGCCTTGATTATTGTTCATATACTGGAAACATTTGATTTTTCACTTACGAAAGTATTAAATAACAAACTAATAATAAAATAATTACTAAGCAATATATATTGTATTATTGTTTTTTTTAAAATCAGCATTTAGAGTTATGGTTATCAGTTCGGATAACTTTACTTAAGAATGGAAGAGATTGAAATATGTAAAATACTCACATTCTACGGCGCAAGAAATGAACTATATAGAAAGAGATGTCGAATTCTTAACGTTGGTGACTAGTGCATATTTTCGTTCTCCTAGTGTTTAAAAAGTGAAAATATGTACAGTAATTATCGTATACTACTTAATTTAGGAAAAACATAGAGCACGATACAACATAACTGATTAATATTTGAATAATGAACATAATAAACTTAAAGTTATTATGTTCATTATTCATGTTAATACATCAACTCATGAAAATTTCATTATCTTCTAAGAGGAAAAAATACACAATACGCATTTTAAAATACCGCCCTCCCACGAGCGTGTCCTCGCCGTTTACTCAACGGAAGTGCAGCTCACTCACAGCTTCACACTTCCTGAATTGCACTTTCCCTTGTAATCACGTGTCTTTATTCCACAGAGGGGACTCGTCCATTGTTAGGATGTGTGCGGGGCTTTCGTCATTGTCACAGTCCATATCAGGCGTGGGATCGAATGCGGCGACCGCCCTGCTGCACGCGACGAAGCGAGCGTTGGCCTTGTTCCCGCGAAGGAGCTTCTTTGCCCGAAACGGCGCTGCCGGGCTCCTCTCGGAGCTTGCTTCTCGGGAATTTTCTGGGAATTTAGAAAAGTCCTTTTCCGGTGGTGCATCTCAAAAACAGTCCTTGTTTTACTTTAATGAAGAAATGTTTTTTTACTGATAAAAATGATATTTTTCACAATACAGTCGATAAGAACAGTAAAATACTTCGCTTAGAGTGTGAAAGAAACGGCTATGCTCGAAGTATACCAATTTTGCCTTGTTTTTTTAATTTTATTGTACTATTGAAATGAATTCAGGCATCAGACTTTACTGCATTTGAAAGATGAAGCACGTAACATGAAGATGACAAGTACAAGGCCAAAATGTTCTGAGGCCCTAGACACACACAGTCACTGTAGATGCTACAACTAACGTACAATCTAGAATATATACAGAACACTTTTAGGATGCGATAGTACTGTTGCTTTTAGAGAAAGCTAAAAACACTTACATTCCGAAGGCGTTCTAGCATTAAAATTAGCATAGTATTTTCGACGAAGTTGTGGAATCTTTTTCTTATAATTGTGCGTTGTACCAGTGCTTTCTAAATATTCTTCACTGAACATGCCAGAATACATCACTTCCATATACAAATATTTACGACAAAAGTTTGACTTACTTTTGACGATTTGACGTACTTTTGACAATTTGACAAAAGAAAGCACTTATTACCGAAATCGAAAATCATACAATAAAGATAATACATTTAAAAAAGGTCAAAGTAATATGTTTTTATCCTATTTTTTAAATACTTCTGAATGATACATTATTCACATAATTTTCTTTACATCTGCTCATGATAAATTACATTTAAAATTCAATAATAACTTCATTATATTCTTGGGTCAATTATTATCCCGATTGATAACTCTACAGAAAATTTCATTTTGGTAGCTAGAACGTAATTTTTATCACAATCGTAGAAAAGAAAGTTTGTTACACAAAATTAAGGGAGTTACTCAATTTAACATCGAAATATTAAGAGCAAGAAACATCAAGCTTCCAAGAAAACCAATATGTCACAACGGCCAGTGAAAAAATACCACCTCTCTCTATCTTTCGAAACCCAAACAACCAAACCAACCGCTGTAACCGCACTTTTCTCGATCAGAGCAGCAATTCCCCGCAAGTGCGCCTCCTCGCCCCATGCCACTGTCACCGGCCGCGCTTCGTAGCCGTCCGCCTCCTCCCTCCCCTGCGGAGGCCGTTTGCGAAAAACGCAGAGTACCGTACGGCGCGCGGCGCTGCCCTGCGCTGCCCGGCGCTGCCCGGCGCGGCCGCGGCCGCCCGCACTTCGGCCTCTTCTCGTTACCGGAGGAGCGCCTCGCCTCTAACGGGGCAAACGCCTCAATGGCCATATACGGGCGGCGATGGCCGTTCGGCGAACAAGGCCGTCGTAATGACCGAAATTGATCTTTCGTGCGCACGGAAAATCAAAGCTCTAAGGTTCACAGTCGGTACATACGGTATGAAGAACATGGCTAGAGATAATGAACGGAGGTTTTACGTAATTATTAATTAATTTCTTTAATTCAATGACCAATCGTTTTACAATTATTATTATGTTTCCTCATTGGAAACAAAACGAACCCTATGTTAATGCGATTAAATCTGTTGAGTGGGCTGTCACAGTAAACAGCATGGGTCAAATGTAGTACTTTTTTAAAGCTACAAGCTGAAGAAAACGGCGCAGTAAAATTTCTATTTACTGGGTAATGTGTGACTAGTTTGAGAGAAATGCAATTTCAAACCATTAGGGTCAGCGAAAGCGTTTGAAGGAAATCTGTAGCTAATTAATCTTCTTTTGATTTCTCTAGTAGAAAGCATTTTCAGCCATTATATTTTAAATTTTGTTCATTTAATTGAATAAATGCCAAATAACAGTTGCTAATTCAACTTTTAAATAAAATAATAATTATTATTAAAATAATATTTTCTTTATAATATTTTAGTGCAATTTTATATTATACCGAGAAAGTAACTAAATGTACAGCCATCATTTACTCATAAATACGACAATAAAAACTTTCTTCATTCACCCAAGCTTTATCATTTGTAAGTCCACGTCGACAAACAACACCAAGCAACCTCACTGTAAACATCTTGGAAAACTAAACAGCAGCACATTCGAACTCGTTCGACTTACAAAACCTTCACAAACGAATTGAATTACTCGTAGCATCTGCAGCCCGTTACCCATCAAAATCCCCGTCCGCCGTATGGGGGAGCGCGTGGCCGTTGCAGGCCGTTGGGAAACCGCAAGCGGCGCCTGCGTGCGCGGGGCCCCGGCCAGCTCCCTCGGCGGAGGGGGCTCACAAAAGGCAACATGTCACGCAGTGTCTTTGACCCGGAGGTTCAAGGTTCCAGTTCCAACAGTGGCAGGATTTGCGACACCAGCTTCACAGCTA